ATCTGCCAAAATCTGTGCAGAATCTGATGCGGATCTGTTACAGATCTGTGGTCAAATCTGATGCAGATCTGTTACAGATCTGTGGCCAAATCTTGGCACATCTGCATTTTGTTTTCTGAGGCAGATCTGCATCAGATCTGCAAAAACTCTTTGCAGATCTACAAAGATTCTGGAAAGATTCTGCAAAGATTTTTACAGATTTCAACTGCAGAAATTTCACCTGGGCAGTTGCGTTCACTTCGCGTGTTGAACTTATAAGTGCTAAAAGACCGATTGTTGATAGTTAAGAACAGATCTACGAGTGTATTTTTGAGATATGGATTTTCTTTGCAATATGAAGTCGAAAAGCGCTTACCCAACGATATGCTGTTCGCTTTCTTTACTGCCTTTCGTGATGGAAAGATTAATTTCACCCACTAATTAGTATACTGATTCTACAAGTTATCTGTATGAAAAGATATTTGTCAAGATTACGATTATTAGTTACAATCCTGCATTGGAGTATTTAGTTTTACTAAGCGCTTAACATAATACCTGACTTACAAAACTGTGAATGCATGCACACTTCAGAAATGTAAAAGCAGAAAGAGACCAAGATACAATGAAAAGAGAATATAAATAGAGATAACAAAAGCAAATATTGATGAATTCTACATTGTTTTCGTGTATCATGAGAGCTGAAAAAAGTCAGAAATACGATTTAGTCACACTTACAAAATTAAGAATTATTCTCTACGGTGTTTTACTGATAATACAGTGAAATTGAATCCTACAAGACAGAATTACAAATAAGTTTGATAATTTCAGGCTCTAAATAAATTATACTTATCATCGTCGAGAAAAATACGAAAAAAGTAAAAAACAGTATATATATATATATACACATGTATGAAAAGCTATTCACCAATACTTCAAATAATTATACATCGAGCGATATATCGAGTATGATAGATACCCAGGTCAAAGAATCTTACTGTAAGATCTTATAAGATTCTTGTACGATTCCGTCTGATTTCATAAGATTCTTATAAGAATTTGTAAGACTCTGTAAGAAGCATAGAAACTGATTCCTGATGTAAGATCTTATAGTAAGATTTCATCAGATTTCGTAAGATCCTTGTATGATTTTTATAAGATTTTATAAGATGAATCCGTTTCTATGCATTTCCCTACGATTTCATAAGATCTTGTAAGATCTCGATCTGATTTTTTTATCTGAGTAGTAGCGCGACTGATCGTACTAATCAGACATTCATACTGATGGTGACAACACATAGCCCCGATTTCATACTTGTATTAATCATCGAATATGATTTAATCTGGACAAAATATCATGTTATAATCTCAATGAGTCTACCTGTATGTGCCGTCTAAAAGTTGATCGATGGTAGTTGTAGAATGTATTGACCTACAACAAATTCACTGTCATCTCTTCTTTTTCTGCAACATCATCATCAGCAGCTGTAGGAACAGGTATGTATATGATAAAGCGCAGTGTAGCTTTTGTACCAGACCCATTACAACGACCAGAAACGATTCATGAGCCAATCCAATAATCGACAACAGTAAGTAAGTGTCAAGACACAAAATTTATATGATTGATTGATAAAACTAAATATGGGGCTATTTGGTAGTGGGTGAAAGAAACTTTTTCATGCCTAGTTTATAGTCTAAAGCGTAGAAAACAACACGAGCCTGTAACAATATAGGCAAACAGCGCGATGGAGTAATTATCATTCGCTCTGCACCCACAAACTATCGACTTGTAAGATTGACGTCAAGTGTCCTTCTTAGAACGATACACTCGATCAAAAAATGAAGACTTCTTTAACAAAACTACAGTAGACTTTATCATACATTTGTTTCTACAGTTGATGAAGTTAAAACATCTGATGCTGCTAACGAAGAAGAGACAGAAACGTTGTTGTCGGTGAATAATTTCTTACCGTTGATCAACTTTTAGACAGCACATACTTAGAACAACTGAGCTTGTCGGCTATGACACAGTATTTGGTCTAGACTGCAAAATTGAAAAAGCAAATATTTCATCCACGAAATTCCACTCAGAACAAAAATGTTTGAGAAGTTATACTAAAAGATCAGCGTTTTGAAAAAGTAAATCTTACCCAAATGGTGTGGTGTTCTAGATAATAAGATGAGAGTATTCTGAAATGTTCAGCTATCACATCGTTATTTGTTGCTTCGCTTACTGTTGTGCACCGTCACATCAAGATGATTCAACCATTACATGCAGCGAGCAGGTAGTCTCGTTCACCAGCAATTCTACCAGTTATCGTAATGGTTCCAACGTAACTTTGCCATGTCCTCGAAAAGAATCATTCCTGTCAAGGTGGTATTATTATGAAGATTTTTGTGAATATGTATTTTTTGCAACTGACGAAAATGGCAACATGGCTTGTAGTTCCCAGTATTTAGAAACTTGCAAGAAACGTTACACCTTCAATGGCAATGATCTCATTCTATTGGAAATCAACGAGGATTTTAATCGTGCATATCTCTGTTTCCACATACGTAGAGATCCTCCTTTTGATGCTGAAACTGGAACTGGCCTCGGATACAATATTACAGGTAAGATTGTTCATTCCTCGAGACAGTTTTATTCTGGAAATACTTTGGACTAAACTAAAGGGAGGAGGAGCGGAATGGGCCAATTCGTACCATTTCAAACATTTTTGACCATTTTGGAATGGTGCGGAATGGCCTATTCCAAAACGCTTTTTCCCCCTTGACTAAACTGCAACATGATCTATTGAACCATTATGCGTATCACTCATCACTTTAGAACTTTTCACGACAACAACGACCACTACAACAACAACGACCACTACAACAACAACGACCACCACAACAACAACGGCCACTACAACAACAATGTCAACCACAGGTAATTGCCGGTAGTGCTTAATCATTCCAGTACATGTGTAATAGTTTGTTCAAAGGCTTGAAAGATTGTTTGCCAACGTCTGACCTTAAACACAATCGTATTTTGTGAGAGAGAGAATACGGTTGACTGACTTGAAATGAGGTTAGCGGTACTATTGTCACTTCCAGAAAATGGAAAGTCCGAGTTAGTAGCGAGCGTTTTAACTTTAAAGTGAATCCTTTTAAGATGCTACGATACAATGAAACTGGAACCTTCTAGACCAGATATAGATCTGTCTTGTAATCAGAAGGATCGGATTTGACAATATAAAACAGCATCATTCTCTGCAACTCTCTTTCATCAACTGAGATTGAAAAGTGTAACGCAGTTTGCATAACGATTATTTGTAGCCCTAGAACGTAGCTGTTGCCATCTGTATTAGCATCAGTTCTACACACGTTACGCTCAATTACTTCGTAAATAATAATAAACTGGAAAAACTGAAACGAATAAACTGCAGTCTGGGCGCCCTAGATATATAAATACTACCACGTATTATTCATAACATCGAGTTCACCGTTAATTGAAGTTATTAATGCGGTGCGAAACTGCGCCGTGCGTCTTTCCTTTCTAGATCGAAAAAGTGTCATTTTCTGTAACGATTTTCTCGGAAGCGAGAAGAGGTACAGTAAAATTTTAAACGCGAATAGGGAACTGTGAGTCTGAATTAATAAATAAGCTATTTTCAGTCTTTGCATTTATAAGAGAGTATGTTCCCATACTATATGATTCATATAATCATAATGTTTTTATATGTATCCAGCGAATATGCAGGTATTCTACACTTTCTTCGTCCGTTAAGTGTTATGACTGCTGTACAGTGCTGCATCCAGGATTTTCCTACGGATGTGGAAAATCTTTAAAAAATTTTTGAACGGGTCCTCACCAACTTTTTATTCGTTCATATACATTGCGCCTTTTAGTACTTCAAAACCTTTTTTTAAATTGACGCAAGGTCCCATGGGGTTGGAAATCAGCACGTGCCTCCGATTATCATATTTAGCTGCTTCGCACCGCATTTGCAAGTCTCGCTGGCGTGACTGCCGACTAGTTTTCTATTGTATAACAAATCGATGTAGAAAACGCTCGAGCATTTTAAAATGGTTATAATATGCTGTATGATTTGAAAGGGTGGCCCAGAAGTCCTGATCCGATTTGAATAATAAATTTTTCTATAGTGAAACAAGTGGTAGTAAATCTGACTATTGATTGACCCCGTTAGCTCATCTAGTAAGAATGTTATAGGCTTAGAAATGTGCTTCACAAAAAAGAAAAATCCACCGTGAATCCGATCTCGGTATTTTTGCTTTAACTCCTGTTCCTTAGGTCCCCTAGACTAAGTTCTTTTTTTAAAAGGAGCGTCGTAAAAAATAAAAA